TTCATCGGCATTATCAAGGTGACTTGTTTTAATGGCATAATCTGAAAATTATGCTCAAAATCAAATTATTTGCTAGCAATCTCAAAAACGTCGGGTTTCGAGTAGATAATAAGCATATATGTGACCATCTTGTGAACGCATTTATCAAAATTGTAAAATATTTAAATGGTCCACATGGTGGATGAATTAATCGACATATATCACCTTGAATATATTCTAAAATACTGAAGATTCAATCTCGGTTTTACTTGATGATGGCTTAATCATCAATTTACCTTGGCAACATGCAAAACATGAAAGTTCATTAAATTGAAGAATCTTTTGGCTCTTCAATAGATATTCATATAATTTTTTTAATAATCTTTTCTCATCATGAAAGACCCAAGATAACACAACTGGTCATGTCACATAGTAAAAGTATTTGAATTAGTAAACTTCGGTTTACTATAATATTAGTTTCAATCATTTCAATGTTTGTAACAAAGACTATAAGAGAAAACGGATAATTTTTTTTGATAGATATTTTCTACCCGATATAATGATTATAACATATAAGAATTCACATTTGCTATCTTGATATAATATCAATTTAGATAAACATCTTTGAAACTCAACAAATATCCATGAGACTTTGAAGAGAATAGGACATCATTCATAATAAATTTATCCTTTCGAGATAATAACATATTTGCTCTTCCGGAGCTTTTAAATTAGTCACTTCAAGTAATAATATATCGACTCTTCTAGAGCCTTTAAAAATTTTCTCTTCAAGTAATAATTTATTCACTCTTCTAGAGCTTCAAAAATTTATCCTTTCAAGTCATGATATAATCGCTCTTCTAGAGCCTTCAAAATCTATCTCTTTTAGATAAGAATATAGTCGCTCTTTTAGAGCTTTCTATTATATTGATATTATCATATATAATATTAACATAAAATAAATAATCAAATAAATCAATACAAAATAAATAAATCAATATATGCCTCATAAACATAAACAAAATAAATAAATAGTAAAATAAATTTGTAACCATCAATATACGACATAAATTATAATAAATATAAAATATTTTATTTATAAATAGAAAAACTAACAAATAATTAATTTCAATTACTATTACTTTGATATATAAAAGTGGTCTTCATATTTTACTCTTTATTTTTCAATAAGGCTTGACAAGGCTCAATGAGGTGCTTTGGTGTACGGCAGGTACACGATCAATATTCATTCATTCCACATCTATAATATTTATTTTTCGAATACTGACTTTATCTATTTTTATTTCTTTTTTTTCCATAGTTATCCACTTCGGTGGTGAGATGTAATATTATGGTCATTACAATTATAATGATAATTATTTCCACCATATTCATGTCTATGACCGCATCTTCATCCATGTCTAAAATTATTATAAATTGTCACATTCACTTCGGGGAATGGAGTAGATCCAATTGGATGAGATTTATTATTTTTCATTTTATTTAGCCACTAACAAATATAAAATCGATCCAAAATATTTCTTAAACTCTTTTTCTCGATATGCTACTGTAGGAGCATATCCAAGACATAAAAAGTAGAGAATATTTTTTTAAAAAAATCAAGCACTCATAATCAATAATTCTTATTCAAAATATCAAGAGTCACCAAATCAAGTTTATGAGGTTTGATATGATAAAAATTCATACTACAATATATAATAATAATAGTAGAAAATAAATATAATAATAAAATTAAAGTTTTTCAAATAACATATATTAGATCATTAGTAGATCATTTAAGTTTTTCAAATATATATTTCAAGTATCAATAGATTTAAAGTACATGAATAAATTAGATATATACCTCTTAATGATCTAAATAATTTAGATCTTTTGGTAGAGCACTTGTGTAGAAGAAATCTAATTGTTGAAACAATTGATTAAATCTTTTGGTAGCTACATACCTCATGGTCTATTATCTCGATTGGTTAGAGCTTCATGCCGATAACGTGTTATAAAATAAATAGAAATGATAAGAGAATTGAAGAAAATGATGACAAGAAAATGATATCACTATAGTGTGAATATGAGTGATAAGAACTTCAAAATTTCTCTTATTCTCTCTAGGAAACTTGTACATCAACAAATGAATAATCAAGTCTATTTATAGGCCTCAAAATTGAGATGAGAATTGGAAGGGACTATGAATAATTAAAAGTACATTAATTGTATCACCCTTTCAATTTCTTATATTGAATGATGAATTGAATCACATTAAGGATCATGAGTAGTGGGGATATGAAAAGTAGATGGACATTCATATGGACATTCATTATTTTATAACATATATATATATATATATATATATTTATTTATTTATTTATTACATTTCCCAGTCTTTAATGTTGCATATAAACTCATGGGCCAACTACGACATACCTGAAAATTGTAAACGAATTTGATATATGTGGAACAAGGTAATCTCATTTTCTCCTCTTTCTATTTTAAGATAAAGTGGAATAAATTCCACCACACAAACCTTGATCAGGATGAATATTTTGCCTATCTAACTTTTTCTAGAAAAATGAAAGAATACGAGGGAGCGCCAGCAAAAGGCGAAGTATAACCAAGTTGGTCCTCTCTCTCTTCGTTTTTGGCATCTTGTCTTGTAGGTATAATCACGAGGCAAGAACTACTAGTTAGACTAGACAGTCTATGCATTTAGAAAATTATAGTCCGGTGCCTAATAACATAATTTTAAAGCTCTCAATTATAGCGTACATATTGTAGAATATCTCTAGGTTGCACTGAATTAGTTTGATAAATATTCTACTGGTTTTACAATTCAACAATATTGAGTGATAAAGTCCAATTAATTAGATACTATAACACAAAAACAATTACATAGAAAATAATGATAAAAAATTAATTAAAAAACTTTTTTTTCTTTTTTTGTTTACTATGAAAAATAAATTCATGTTTTCCTGTAAATATAATTTTTTTTTAATTTGTTTTTCTACAATTGGTTGCTTTTCCAAATTAATTATGACAAATTGATAAATAAGACTATTAACGTAGAAAAACTCGAAATATAAATTAGACTGAATTCTTGATGGAAAATTATTACATGAACCAATAAGTTCATTGAATCAAGACAATTACATATTTTTATTTATTGCAACAGTCAATCATATATAGTAGAGTTTACAACACCAATCAATCGAAAGTTACATTTTTTTGATTTAATAAACTAGATTCACGTTGTTTCTCTTTCTAATTTTAATTGACATTATAAGATGGTGCTTAAAATTTTAGTTTCTCCATGACACCTCTAGGAATATTCATAGACTACTATCTTGTATGCTAATTTAGCTATATTAACCACTCAATACATGCATATTATCCGATTTCTTTGTTCTCCAAATTTTTTAAAAATTTATTATTTGAAATTGGTTCGGATAATTCGGAGTTTTTAAAATTATTCCTATCTATCTAGAAGGGGGGGGGGGGGTGTGGTGGGGGAACAATAACAACGAGAATAAAAACTTAATGATATTTTAATGCATTCCTAAGGTCAGCAAATCTTGGGCTGGAGCTATCATGACTTGGACATGTTATAAATAGTGTTCATTTGTATAACTAAGCAACTTTCATGAATATATACCCTTAAAAGATGAAAATTCTTAAATGGCCGTCACATTCTTCAAGGTTTCCTTCTTCGTCTTCTCTACTTCTTCGCTTAGCTGAGATTGTGATATATACGTATGAATGAGCTTTTAGTCTTCCACATCTTATTTTGCCATTAAAAAGTTGCTAAATATAATTAGGTTTCAAAAATCTCTATTCGACATTGTAGATATAATTATTTTTATTCAGAGAGGGGGCGACACAGTTTAATCCAAAATGTTAATCACGAGCATTTTAACTCAAAATGTTGAATACGAGCATTTCTCAGCATTAGCTTTAGAAGAGACACTAGTAGAGATCCGATTGCATTTTTTTTCATTCTTTTTAAAAGCCAAGTTTGGAATTAATACACCATAGGAGATCCAATTGCAATCGATCCCACCACGTAAGAGAACGAAACGGTAATGCAAAAATAGAATAGCTTCAAAGAAAGAGGAAAAAAAGTGACTATGGCCATTCAATCAATGCAAAAACAAAAAGGTAATGCGAACATATAAAGATATGTGGAGCATTGTCATATCATGATGGTACTAAACTTTTCCTACAAATATTCTCATGTGAAAATTCCAACTGAAAGATGATGCTATAATATTTAAGGAATAAAAATTGATAGTGCATATTTAAAAATCTAATTACTCTCAGGCCTCTAGCCCGGATGAATTAAAAGCACTAACATCAAGAATATGGTTTCCTCATTGTAAAATGAATACTTTGCATGATTAATGAACCAAAGAATATATCCATTTATTGCAGTGTCATCTTCAGGAGATGGGAATTTCAGAGTTTAGTTTATAATGTATGTGATATTTACGTACAAGTAAATTCAGAACCTTCAAATTTTTCTTTTTTTCATTTTCAGAATCTTTAAAAGCAACCATTTGATCGTTGCCAGCTGTGTCAATTTCCCATATTTAGATTCCCATATATTTATCAAGTATAGATGGCTAGCCACATGTATAGTTGACCCAAGATGTGACAATATATGGTGCACATAATCATGTCTATTTTCCATTATGCCTTGAACTTGAATATCATAAAATTAGTACATTGAGCTGAGAAAAAGAAGACATCTATAGGTGAGAAAACTAGCTAGCATATATTGCACACTTACAGAGGGATTCATTCATTAAGTATATATTAAGAGTACGGTCAAAAAGATATACTTGAGTACTAATACTTAATTACGTGACTAATTAGTACAGTTCTCTATATCTTATTTTCCATAAAGTATGAAACTCTACACAGCCGCCAGTGGTGGGAAAAAACAGGGAAAATTAGGAAAATATACAGCTTAGTTATCCCTAGTATTAGAGCAACATGCATGCTGCTACGTACTAAAGCCATATAGCTCCAGCTTCTTTGAGCAGTTTCTTCAATGAGCAGTTAAGCTGAAGGGTCATCACCGTGTTTGCGGAGCCTACAAATTTGCCCCCAATGAACACTGCTGGCACGGAGGGGTTGCACCCTAGCCTCATAAGAGCCCACTCCATTTCCTTCCCTCTAGAATCTTCGTCGAGCTCATAAATTGCCGGGCTCACCCCTTGTTCATAAAACAGTCTCTTGATTGCATGGCACATGCAGCATGAGCTCTTGCTGAAAATCACCACTGCCTTTTGGGATGCCAATTTTCCTACTCGATCCATAAATGATGTGTGTGTATATACATATATATCAAAAACAAAAATGTATCTTCTTTTTTTTTATCAGGCAAAAAAAAGAATGCGCTATCTTAGTAGTTGAAACAAGGAGCTAAATAAGTGTTGAAGTCTAAGAAATCTATATGAAATGCAAGACGAATGGTAGTGTTGGTTATTTGTAAGGCTAGCTTTATGTGTGTTGTATGCCAGTAGGTTGATATGTGATGGTATGCATAAGGCTCTTATGAGCTTATATATAGGCTAGACAGAGAGCTGAGTGGTGCATTGAATATTTGCATTGTTTAATGAAAAGCAATTACAAAAGGTTCCTTGAGATATTTGGATTGATACCCCTAAATTAACCTTGATTTGATAGGGACTTGTCTGGTTTGCTACAAAATATTTAACCTAGTTGTCCCCAGAATCTAAAAAATTGTGGATAAGCCAAATGCTGCCGAAAGTAAAGAGGGAAAATATATATTTGTAACGTACGGTAAACTTGCTTTTCGTGGACAGAAATGGCAGTGGAACCACACGTGGGTCGTGTGTATGTAACCATGTCAAAGTTGCATGGGTGAGGTGGGGGAATGTCAACTTTGGATAGGATATATGATAACGTTGGATGCCAAGGTGCAGGATGCAGACTCCCACAGGAATAGTTGCGTCACCTTATATGGTTTTAGGCATATATAATTTTCTCCCGAAAGTTGCCAAAAGAGCCTGAACTAAAAATAATTACTCCTCTCACAAATCTATTAAGTATAGTATTTAGGGTTTCGTAAGCTTCGTTGCAGGGGGAATATATGTTGGCAATTGGAACAGTCAAAATTCAGAAAGCAAAAGTCAACTGCCCCATACAATTGGGTTTTACTCCTCATCCTCTTCAAAGGCATACTGGATTTAATTCGTAATATTAGTGGGACTTCCAATTTGATGTTAGAAAAATGAGTCTAGATTAGGTTGATCTGACAACAAAATTGTTTTTTTTTTTTTTTTTTTTTAAAAAAAAAGAACACTACATCAAAAAAAGGCATTGTAGGTGGTTTTTTTCTTTAATAAAGGCGGTTAATGTAGGAACGGTTTTATGAATTGCCTGTAATGCCACTCGTTTCTAAGTTATAGAGGCGGTTTTTACAACCGTTGAGGAATTATGAGGCGCTTGCTTTGAAGTGGTTCAAATTGATTATTTGAGGCGGTTACAACCGCTTCTACAATGCTATTAAAAAAAAAATGTTTATAGAGACTATTGAAACCCCCTCAAATTGATTTTTAAAAAATTTAGGAACCACCTAAGAATAAATAAAAAATTAAATCTTGATTTTTAAAAAAATTTAGCATTATATTTATATTTCGCCTTCAAATTCAATTATTTACTTCATTTTTTGTCAAAAAAACAAATAAATAAATAAATAAATACATTTTGTTGAATGCAAACAAAAGAAAATATATATTGCTTACACAATATTCTTAAATTTGTAATTATCAAATTATAAATACATAAAAAGTCTTTAAACATTTACAAGGAAAAGAAAACTAAATTATTAAACACTTGTTCAAAATACATAAACAAAGTTTCCAATATTTCTAAAATAAATGACTAATGTTGACAAAAAAACAACCCAAAAACTCCAAAGCCTTACTTTCTTAATCTAGTGCTTGTGATTGTAAAAAAAGACCATTAACCAAAAAGTTGTCGGCCATCAAGAATTCAAGATCAAAACATTAATAAACCAAGAAGCCCTTTAGGCTTTGAAATCAATAATAATAGGATAGCTATACCTTGATAAGAAGAGGCTTTGAGGAGCTTTTTGATCAACTTTCTATCAATAACATTATTATCAATAACAAGAATATGAAGCTGATTCTTAATAGCCATAGCCATTACAATTCCGGTAATGACTTGTCAAGCCAAGAAAGGACTAAGAAATGAAACAAGAAGAGAGAATATTGTAAACAAAAAAGCGGATGAAGAGAAGGAAGGGAAGGTAAGGGACTTTTAAATGGAAAGCCATAGGATGAAGAAATCTTGTAGAAAATGCGAACAGTTTGGAAAGCAAGTTTTATGTGTAAGTTTTAACTATATGCATACCAATCTCAAATAAAAACAAATATCGAAAAATCTTATCATTTCTCAATAATGCAAGATTTATGGCCATGAGGCTAGAAATGAAATCAAAGCAACAAAAAAAAAAAAAAAAGTAGTTGAGTAATGTTGAGAAAACCTTGTTGTTAGTTGGTAGGGTAAGAATTTCGGTCACCGGAAAAAAAGTTTGAAGGGGAAAAAAAAGACAATGACAATTAACTACACTAAGAGATTATGGATAAAAAAAAAATCAATACTCTAAAAATGGATTATACATTGTTTATTTTTCAACCAATTATTTACGCACTCGATAAGAAAACGAGTTAAAGGTTCTTCATCCTTATAATCCAAATAACATATGACATAGCTGAAACACAAGCACACATTTCAATCATCACATAACTATAGTTGAGATAAAATTAGGCATTTGTGCTTATGAATCATTGCTTCCATTATAACCGCTTCTCGAGCTATAGTTTATTGAAGGTAAAGAAGCAAGCGTATTAATCGAAAGACCTACGCTTTCGGTTCCAAAAACTTCACCCAACGTAAGCAATTCCTAAGATAAATGAATCATACTTTAAGAAATAAAGCAAAGTAGAAGCATCATGGTAACACTCGGACCAAGCCAACTTACCTCGTATGAAAATTCATCATGTGGTATAAGCAACATTACATTAGGTTTACAATCAAGAATGGCAACCCCTAGTACTAATAGCTATCAATATTTGCCTCCAAAGATAGAACTTGCAAATTTGGAATATATATATAAAGTGGTAAACAAAAAATTAATTAAAAAGTAAATTATGCTTAGAATCATAAATTAAATTAATCTATTTTTGTAAAGTTACGACATGTTCTTGTACATAACTAGAAGATGTAACTTATTTATTATTAATTAATCATAGGATTTCACTTTCCCATTCTAGGAAAGCAAGCAAGGAGAACTAGGACTATACTTATTATAAGTAGAACAAGGTTTATAATTACCAAATGACCATAGTTTTAACTCAACTAATTACCTAAGACAAGGAAGCGCTCAATGTTGCCCCTCTATAGGCGACGGAAACTTGTCTCCGGCAATTAATCCCTCTAAGATGACAAAGATAATTAGAAAAGAATGCAAAACTAAGATGTTGTTGATGGTGTGCGCAAATTGCATGGGTGAGAGAGAGACCTCCGTATCAATCTCGGCGGATTCGACATCAATGTGAGCATCGACAATGATTTTGATGATTTCTACAAGTAATTCGGATCGATCTACTTTCTTGATACAATGCAAGCCAATTTGAAATAAAATAAAATAAAAAACCCATCCTTTGAAGACATTCTAGCTCAAGAATAAATAAGGGTAGGCATATAATTGAACTTTATAAAATTGCTTTTGTCATGGGAATGGGCGAAAGGGGAAGTCAAGAAAACCTATTTTTTTGGGGTTGGAGGGGAAGATGAATAAACCCAATTCTTGTTATTGAAGGAGAAGATGAAAAAAATCCTAATTTCTTTATCAAGGGAAGGGCCGGTTTGTTCTTGAAGGAGAAGATTTAAGAGAACGGGGCGGTTTGTTGTTGAAAAAGATGAAAAATCCTAATTTCTCTTTCAAGGGAAGAGGACGGTTTGTTGTTAAAGGAGAAGAGAAAAATCATAATTTCTTTTTGTCAAGGAAAAGGGGCAAGATAGGAGGAACAAAAAACCTAAAAAGAGGCACTTGTGTCAAGTAAGGGGCGGGAGTACGAAAATTTTGTTTCTCGTTTGAGAGTCAAAAATAAATTTTAAAAGTTGGGGCGGTTGGTATAACTTTTTTAAAAAATCCTATTACTAAATATATATTTCTAATTTTTTAGGTGGTTAATACAACCGCCTCAATAATTCTGCCTACTATAACACAATTTTGGTGTAGTGAAACAATTGTTATGCGATTGCTTATGGTTGTTATTTTCCTAAGTTGCTATAATAGTGATTCTCCATATATACATATAAAAAAGAATAATGTAAAAAAATTGAATAACATAATATAAAAACAGAGAAAAACTATCTAAAAAATCGCTGAAAAAAAATTAAAATAAAAGGAAAGTTGTTTTTGCCTTTAAGTTGTGGAATTTAGATAGTGGTTCAATATTACTATCTTGATTTAGTGAAACTAAATACGGATAAGTGTTATTTCGGTATGGTTGTGATTTTATTACATTATTATTAAATCACTTTTGGTAGTTTCCATGATTAGCCATGTCCTTGAATTATTATGAATTTATAAGTAATACACAAAAAGAGAAACCAATATTGTGATGGTGGGAATTAAACCCACAACTTCTAAGCCTACGAGTCTTAAACTAGCCTTTGAGACCATTAGGTCAACTTGACATTTTGGTTTAAAATATTTAAAAATATTTATTTGATGAAATGTTATGAATTCTAAGATTAACAAATAATAATAATAATAACAACACTAACAATAATAATAACAACAATAATAATACATAAAAAAGAATTGAACCCATGTCCTCTAAGTTTAGAGGCTTCAACTAGTGCTTAAGACCACTAGGCTAACAAGTTATTTTGATTTAAAATTATTGGTAAATTAAAATTATTCTAGGAGATGCAAAAATATTTATTATAATTTTTTATATGGAAAATAATCAAAAAATTCACAATAATTAAAATAAAGTGAATTAAATTTTTAAATTTTTTGAAAAAAATCATCTATATATTTTAATATGATTATGGTCTAGAATTGGATATTTTAATATTGTAAGGAATTTATTTCAATTAGTGTTATAAAAGGATTATGAAATTCATTAATAATGAATTTTTAATGAAATAAATTCAAAGAAGATTCTCAAAAATATTTTTATGTATGTGAATGAATTTTGAAAATTTTAAAATTTTTATATATAAACATATGTTATTTATGAAGTATTATGTT